CCGCTGCCGCCGGTGTCCGCCGCTGCAGGCCAGAGGCGAGAGGGAGCCCTCTCCGCAGGGAAGCGAATCCCTCCTGCCCTTCCCAGCCTGTCTTTTGCCACCGTTCCCAAAAAGCATTGAGCTCTTCCGCGTTGTTCAGCAGCGTGGCCCGGGATGGGGCCGCCCGGGGAGCGAAGCGGCGGGTGAAAGCGGTGGCAGGGCAGCGTCCCGGCGCTCCGCTCCCGGGGCGCTGCGGCCGCCTTCTGCTGCATCGAGGGGTAAGGAGGCTTGGCTGCTTGTCGTGACCGCTCATCACCTTTACTGAGCGTGCCGGCAAAGCCCTTTGCGATAGAGATTTTATTTTCCTACAGGGAGAGAAAAAAAAAGAAGCATGTTGGTGCTTGGGTTGGGACTCGCTTCCTTCTAGCCTTCGCGTAGTAACAGCTTTCATCCACCCTCTGCAGAGATAAGTGTTGTTCCATAATAACGAACGTTTTCCTGTGCCGCGTGGGCTCCTCCTCCGCATTGGGCGAGCGTGCGTATGCGGAGGGAATCCATAGCTCTCGTCCCTCTTGACTTGGTTTTGTTCTTGATGTAGGCACTGCTGTTGTTAGAGTAGTCCTGTTGATAGCATCCCGACTTTCTGCCTGGTGTGTCCTTGCACATCGTTGCATCCAGTCTCTCATGCCTGGGAACAAAATGCATTCCAGCGAGTGAAATTACACAATCTGAGCTGGGAGATATGTTTGCTTTTCCTTTGTGTGAGCATTACAAGGCTTATCAAGGGAAGGAAAACCTCGCTGTGGTAGACGGTAAGGCTGGATCTCCTCTATGCAAGGAGGATGTTGGTCTCTGGGCTTTGGAGTAATGAGGGCTCAAGCCCCTTCGCGTCCAGCCCTGCTCCTGAGACGATCGGGGACCTGACAGGCAGACTTTGAACTGTTTGCTCTGGGCCTCCAAGAAGGCACCGCTCTCCAGTTGACTGACTTCCTGACTGTCTCTTAACTCCTCATTGTTGCTAAGATAATTGGGATTTGTCTTGTTTGAAAGAGGTTAGGGGAAAGAAAAGACTTAATCTTCCTTCTGCAAAGGCCAGAAATAAGGGTTCAGGCTGTTCTTTGGTTTTCTGTTTTCTAGGCATTTTTCAGCAACAAGCTTTACCAACACAATAAATTTACCTTCTCAACTCTCTTTTGAAACATCCTACATCCAGTAGTGTTCCTCCTCTCCACTGACTTGGGTGATGTACCTTTATCAGCTGACGGAGGTGATCGTCCACCCCATTTCTGATTCTTTTGTGGCAGTGTTAATTGGAGGCTGAAGGACTCAGGGAGAATGTCTATCAGACATTGCAGGCGCTGCCTGAAGGGTGTTACTGTGTCGGAGGGAGAGGCCACACTAGAGACTGGGAGGAAGCCCAAGAAGCAATTTGGGAAGGGAGGTATTGCAAAGTGTGGTTTTCCTTCAGTGTGATGCTCCAAATCTCTGCTTCAGTATTTTGTATAAAAAGTTTTTCGACAGAACATCTAAGCTGTGCAGGCAAACTGTAACCAAGATGATTGACGCTGGAGTGAACACGAGCTGTTTTGCTCTGCGAACCACAGGGAAAATCGCTTGCCATGTTTCTATTTGAGTCATCAAAGTTTTGACTTGTTGTTACTTGTTTCCCAAGGCTGACAGAAAAACAAATAGCTTTGGGTTTGGTAAAGCAGGTAAAGTTAGTGGCTGTCAAGGACTCAGTACTTGCCGTAAGCATGTATCTTGCCTTCAGCACATTTGCAAACTGACATCACCAGTCAGGGTCTGCTCCCCGGTGCCTGGCTGCGCTTCTGTGTTTGTTTATGTGGGAGCTTATTACAAGTTGGGATAATGTTTTTAGCTTGGCTTTTTCATTGTACAGCTTAAGAATATAAGAAGGGAGGCCAAATTTCACCCTCTGCCCTAATTCCGTGTATTGAGACAGTTTTTCTTCGTCTGTATCAAGATGGTGCTATATAGCTTTTCAATAACCTTGCACGTACTCATGTTTAGTAAACTGATATTGAAAGTTGCTGATACTGCAGGCACATGCTGGGTATGTCAAGGGTTGGTTCTTTGTGCTTCATACAAGGCAGGGTTTTGTGATGTGGCCTGTTATCTTATAACTGAGTAGATCTAACCACGTGCACAAAAGTGAAAGAGAACTCAAACGTTCAGGCTTAATGCTGGTATTTAATGTGGTTTTAGTTTGAATGCCTTTACCTAGGTTGTTTAATATAGGTGTTTTCTGTAGTGGTGCATACAAACCTTTGCCTTTTCTGTTGGGGCTTTGTAGGGAGGCTGTGGGATGAGAAGGTGTTCTGGGACAGACCCTGTGGAAGGTGTGCCCATGGGGCAGAGATCCAGCCAACCTGCCATCATTCACAGCATGCCTGAGGCTCCTGGAAAGCGAAGCTGCCTTTCTGAGGGTGTGCTTTGCAAGGCTGAAGCTCTTGGCTATTTAACTATAAATCCGTTGTGCACGGAAAGAAGTGGAACTGTTGTATTTGATGTGCAGTTGAATTTTCTGCAGAGGTTGCTGCTCTGCTGTCCTGGATGCTCAGAGGTTGGTGTTTAAAATAGATTGAAGGCTTCTTGAAGGTGAAGTTTTGGAGTGCTGACTGAGAAATTTGCTGATCTCACCCGACTTTTGCAGCTCTGAAAGGAGCATCTTCGAATAGGATTTCTGCTTGGTGAATTTCCAGTTTTATTTATTTTCAGACCCTTTGCCTCTGACTCTAAGTGAGAGAGAAAGGCTCCTGTGCAAGCTGTGACACTCTTTGTACCCCTGCCTGAATTGTTTGGGTCCCACTAGCTCATATTTAGTTCATCTGGGCAACAGCACAATGGATGTAGTTTTGAAAAAGTGCTAGAGCATATGAAGGTAGCTGTTTGTAAAGGAAACACATGGTAGCTTCAAGCCTTGTGGGGATTTTATTGGTCCCATTATAAAATTGTTGATACTAAGTCAGAGCAATCACTTGAATTTTCCTCTCTGCAAAGGTGAAACCTTAACTCTTGAGTTTAGTGGTTGTGCCTTTTCAGATGGTGGCAAGTATTTTCTTCCAGAAAACCACTAACGTCTGACCGCATCTTTTGGATACGCAGCTGGACCTATGGGACCTTTGCACAGAGCCCAGATGTTGGGCATTCAGCTGAAGGACTGCAAGTCTGGGACTCTCCTCCTGAATGTGCAGTGTCATGGCACCTGCAGTTTGCCTGTGCTGCCTTCCCTGAATATGCAGCTGGTCCAGCAGGCAGCCTGGGAATCCCTCCCACCTGCTGACCCCTTCCTCTACTAGGTTTGATCAAAGGGGAGAGACTCCAGCAGATCCTTGTTGTGAAGCTGCCAGTTGCAAATCCTGTGCTTGCTAAGGACCTGGTGCCCTATGAAATGTGGAACCGCAGAGGGTGTGACATTTGAGAAAGCAAGGAAATGTTGCTAGGAAGGGGAAAGAGGGATGGTGGGTAGCTTGATAGTTTCTGTGTAGCATCCTTGCTTCAGTCATTTTATTTAAGCTATTTGAGACTCTTTTGACAGAGAGCTGGATTCATGGCAAGCTTGAGAACTCACAAAATAAATCACAAAATATTCCTTTGAGCTTTAAAACTTATCTGAGAACTTCAGTTTTTATGTTAAGAGATCGTATCTGGTAACACACTGAATTTTAAAAAATCCTAACAACTAGCCTCTCTTTGAGCTATCAGAATAAACTTGTAATGTCTCATCTGAAAGGAAAACTTCTGAAAATTAAGGGAGAAAGTAGGAAGTGATGCACACTTGAAAACATCTGCAGAGGTCACGTTGCTTTCTTCCCTGGAAAGAAGTATCCAACATTGAGCAAGAAAGGGGTGAAAGCAAGCTAAGCTATTAGGTAAAGATAGACACAGAAAGCATGGACTGCTGGGGATTCGTAAAGTTTGACTAGTATATGGTAAACAAATTCTTAATTTCACTGCTAAAATTTGTTAGAGGAAAAGACTTGGTTTGCTGGCACTTTTCTGTGCAAGCAGAATTGATTTGCTTAGCTTGCTGTTGAGAAGTCACATCATGGGACGGGAATGGGAATGTGTGGTCCATGCTATCCTAAATGTGCCTGCAATAGTCTCTAGACTAGTTCACACAAGGAACACACTTTAAATCTTTTGGGCTAGGGTTAGGTCCACAGTCTAATTCAAAATTTGATTTAGGAGCCAATTTTTATCTCTATTGCCAGGGTTCCTGCTTAAACAGTAGCTGATTTTGGTGATGGTGTCTTGCTGCTGCTACTTACATATTTCCTTTGACATTCGGAATTGGAGGTTCAGGTCAGAAAGCCCAGGGGCAGAAGGCTGGTGAGGTATCTACAGGAGGCCGAAATGTCTTGTGTAGCTTGTTTGCCCAAGCACAACATGGAATATCCTAGACGTCTGGAAGGAGGGGAAGCAGAACCTTGTGGTGACTTTCTGGAGATATTGTTTACTTGATGCAAATCAGCCATGTTGTTATTTACTGGTGTTCCAGATGATGCTTTGGAAAGCTAAGCAGGGAATGGCTGGGAGGAAAGCTCATCTTCTACAAATGTCTTCTACTTGTGAGAAGGGTGAGGCCTCCTACCTAGGCATCACCAGAGAAAAGCAGCAGCTGACTCTCCTGGGAAGCAAAAAGTAAGGTGTGCACCACAGAGGGTAGTGGCTCTCATAGAAAACGGTGCTGAGAGGACCTTGTGGTCATTTAGTCCGTTGCCCTGTTTTAAACTCGTGTCATGTTACACAGGTTTTATTGCGTTTGCTGTGAGAGATATTTTCAACAGCCGATTTAAAAGTTACAGAACAGCCTGGCTTAGTTCTGCTTTAAATTTTATAGGTGGTTTGTTAGAATTGACACCTACGAAATTAGATGGTTCATTTGCAGGGTTCCCAGGCCACTTTAAAGTGCCTTATTTTCAAATACAGACCTGGAGCACAGTTCATCCAGCTCTCCTTTTTTTTTTCTCTTTTTTTTTTTTCTCCCCATTGCCTGTGCCTTCTGCATGAAAACTTAAGCTGCCCTGATCCAAGGCAGCCTGTGCTGCTGAGTTGTTCTGTAGTGGCCATGTAAGAGGAGGTGGATATCTAGGCACTGATGGCTGCCATGCTGTGAAGGGAACCAGTAAAATAGACATGAGGTTTGCCTGTCACCTGTGAGCGAGTACATCTCTGCACAGCTCTGTGTTCCTCAGATTTTAGTGTGACATCTGTAAAGGCGGTGCTGCTGCTCGAGCGGCAGGCTGTTTTCAGTGCAGGTGATGACTTCTTCTGGATTCATTGCTTCTTGAGGAGGGACTGACCTGCGGAGCAAGGCTTAGTTCCCATCTTAATGCGATCTGTGCTTTTTGTGTTCCACCACCAAAAAATTATATTCTCTGGAAGAAGGATTTTAATCACTTTGCTCACTTGAAAAGAAGACCTTGACATCGTTGCTGATGACTGCTCTAGCATGCACAATGGTGCCTGTTCTGGGAAGCAGAATGCAGCTGTCGGATGAAGTCCTAGACATTTTCCTGACTGTTTTCTGCACCGGGCAGAACCTGGAGCTGACCTATCCTGGAAATCCCTCTGCTTTTCTGCCTGTGGAGCAGCCAGGAGTGAGCCAGGGCTGCATCAGCTCTCTGTGCCTTCCAGAGTTGGTGGTTGCAGGGGGAGTCATACCGTTTCTTGCCAGCTAGAGCCAGGTGCTCCGGGTGTGTAAGTTGCTGGTCCACAGCACCTCCAATTCTGCAGTTTTATACAATTTTTAAAACACAAGGAAAAGCTATGAAAGGTATGTAATTTCTCCTTTCTCTTTCTAGCTACTCTTACCTATGACACTCTCAGGTTCGAATATGAAGAATTCCCTGAGACCAAAGAACCCGTTTGGATCCTTGGCCGGAAATACAGTGTTTTTACAGGTATTTTGCATGCACGGTGCCACACGCTCTAATGCTCCAGAGGACTTTGTTAGTGTTGCACTTTGCTTTCTGAGCAGCAAGGTGACTGCAAACCTTATAAGCACACTGCAGAGTGTGTCTGTCTGCTGGCGGAGCATGCAGACTGTAAGTGCTGTGCTTCTCTCCGTCTGGCCATCTCTGTGGACTCTAGAATATTTTTGTGCAGAAAGTTGCCATTTAGTAGTTATTGGGACTTGTGTCACGAGGCCAGGATGGTTGAGGCAAGGATATAGCTCGGGGGAAAGGCAAGAAAATGGTTTACTGCTTCATAATTTATCTATGGCCATGGTGTATTTGGGTTGATTGCAGCTGTTTCGGGGGGGGGAAAAAGAAAGTTTCTTCTGCACAGCGGCACTGTCCTGTTCCTCAGCCAGATTTTGGCTCTCTGGGCACACAAACTGAGTGAGGAACAGAATGCTGTTGTCATTAGGAAAGGTGGGTGAGAGATGGATTTAGCTATGTTTGGTGCTACCTTCATGTGTGTGCCTTTTGATGCTGAAAAATTTTCAGAGAAAGAAGAGATCCTGTTGGATGTGACCTCTCGGCTTTGGTTCACCTACAGGAAGAACTTCCCTGCTATCGGTATGTACTGTGGTTGAGTCTAAGTATATCCTGGAATTGATGATAATCTGGTTATTGCTACCTAATAAAACAGTCCCCACAAGCCTACCAGTAATTTGCTTCCGATTATAGGAATCTGAAATGCGCTCCATTTAATTGTTAGGATAGACTTTTTGTTTATCTGATAATGAGAATTCCTCATCCCCTTGGGTATGAGGGATAACAGTGATTTTAAAAAGGACACAAGAATGAGTTTGGGAAGCCTACCTAGAAATATCCTTTCTTTGAGCAACATGGGAAGATTTTTGTACTTCGTGTTCATTAAATCCTACATAAGTCTAACGTGAAATATTATTTAATGATGGTCTTGGGCTTGAAGTGGATTAAAGACATGAAAGCTAGAAATATGATACAGAAATGACTGCCTTTGTGCATCTGCTCTGGACTGCGTTGGGGGGTTTTGTTTGTGTGAGTTTTTTTTAAAATGCCTGAAGTGGCTGTTGCACACAGGAACTGTAGTAATATGTGGAACATTTCCCAGTGAACTCGAAGGAGGACATCTTGGTTCCTTAAGATATTCTGCATGGTCACTTCTGTGGTGTTGTTTTGTGTACGGGGTGGAAGGGGTATCAGAAGAGATCTGAGAGCAAGTAAATGGGATTCCAAGCCCCGTCCGTGTTCCCACTGTCAGTGTCATCCCCAGCAGTTGATGGGGACAATGGCTCAGTTTGGAAAAGAGACTTCTTCGTAGCTGATCCTTCTTGCTTGTTCTGTTCTTTCTGTACTGGGAAACGCTTTGGCTAACAAGGTATGAGACATCTTTGATGCAGTTTAATCCCTTTAAATTCATGTTTGTGAGCCATAGTTAAACATGTGTTTGAAATTGAAGGGTCAGCATGCGTTTAACTCTGGCTCATAAATATGATTGGGGTTTCTATGTGAGTTATTAAAGGGTGGGGAGTGGGAAGAAATCCCATTTTCTGAGTCATTTCCCATTTACAGTATAGATACAGTTTGCATGTCATACAGTAAACCTTTTCCTTTTCAGTCTTTCTTCTCCCAGTCATCTCTTTTATTGTTGGCCACTTCTCTCTGTGCTTGCCTGCTTAAATATTGTAAGCTCTTCAGAGGGTAAGGGGAATGTCTTATGCTAATTTTGTAAAGCATTATCCATTCTGGATGTTGTGTATGTTATAAATTGCCGGCAAAATTATAGAAGATAGCTGCTAACCATCCAGAAGCTGATTAAATAGTTCTCTTGGGTGATTTTTCTCCCTCTGCTTTTTGTACAAAGTAGTTGCATGGGATTGAAAGAAAAAAGCAGCACTACAAAGACACTGCTTCTGCCAGCTGTGCTAAGGTGCAGCTGACAGCATGCTTGTAAGACAGCTCACTTGCTGTGGTCACACTAAATATTTTATCTATGAAGCTTGTAATAATAGCCAGAGCTTCAGTGGAGGAGCTGCAGTTTCCTTTTGAAGTTCTGTCAGGGAAATGCTTCCAGCCTTGAGGCCTTTGTCTCAGACTTCCCAGCGTGAGCTAATATCCAGCTTATTCTCCAATATTATGTAGGATGTGGGGTTTTTTTTGTTGCTGGGGTGGTTTTTTTGGCTGGTGGGAGTTTTTTTTGGCCTATGTTTTCCACTTTGGAATCTCATCCAGTCATAGCTGTTTACGATGTGGGAATTCTTGGGACTGATTTGTTTTGCGTGACAAGGTGCCTTCTAAAGATGCAGAAGTTGCCTGTAACAAGCACCTCTGTGTAGAAATGTGTCTCTGAATTGGGGTGGGAGTCTGCAACTAGGCTCAAGGGCTGTTGTGCTCCTGAGAAATTCAGCTCTCTTTCTAGTTGAGTTGTTTGGATTCCCTTTTGAAGTTTTTTTCCCCTTTCAGTTAGTGTTTAGAGGGTTTTGTTTGTTTGTTTTTAAGGGATGCCATTAAGTTACTCACTGATAACTATATTTTTGTTTCTTAGCCTTTGGTATGTGAGCTAAGGTAGTCCTTATTCCCTGCCCGATTTCTTGGGTGAACCTGCTACCTATGCAGACTTACAGTGCTTTCATTTCTTCTCCCTCTTGGCACTGTTTTACTGTTCATTACATATTTATTTTGTTTACAGGAGGAACTGGTCCCACATCTGATACTGGCTGGGGCTGTATGTTGCGGTGTGGCCAGATGATCTTTGCTCAGGCCTTGGTCTGCAGACATTTGGGAAGAGGTAAACCAGTGCACAGCCCATACTGACTTCCAGGGCCATGTGCTCCCACAAGTGCAGTACTTGTAAGGGCAGCAGATAAGAAGGGCACAGCTGGGAATTGCTGAGGGCTCATTAACTTTTGCTTCAGTCTTCTCAAGTTCAGGGCTGTTGAGAGAACAGTCTGCTGGAAACCCTCCAGCAGGTTTTTCCCTGCTGTCTACATCTTTACATAGATAAATATAGTTGTCCAAGCCTTAAAACAAAGCAGAGCCCTGTAACATGCTAGTTAAATCCACTGAAGCTAAGCATGTACTAGATTTTTCTTTAAGGGTTTTTTCTATAGCTGAAGTTTAAAAGAACTTAGTAGATTGATTCTCGTTTATAGTTCTTGTTTTATTTGTCACAAAGCCCTCACTTACTGAGTGTAGTCTCCTCTCCTTGAATAGATCTGTTCTTGTGCTTGACCCATGCTTATTCTGTAAGCAGCTATACTAGAGCATTTTTTTGACAGTTGTTGATGGCCTTTGAATTTGTGGGGGATGGTCTTTGTAGCAAGGTCACCTGTTTTCTCCCAGAATATGTAGCTTACGCCTGTCAATGAGAAATTGTAATACTATTTCCCATCTGTGGGATAGAGGTACAATTTGTGTTTTCCGATTTTTTGTTTGTTTGTTTATTTGCTTTTCTGTGGGTGATATTCCTTTATCCAGCTGTGAGAATGCTTACTTTTCATTTAAAATTAATCCTTTAGTGTTGGGAATGCCTCAGATACCTAGTAATAAGATAGCAACATGAAAATCAGGTCAGTTGATTAACACACAGGGAAGAGAACTGTAGCTTGCAGCCTCTAGTTGCTAATAAATATCATGTTTTGTTTCATATATCCCCTTGTCTGTCTTAGACTGGAGGTGGATAAAAGGGAAGAGGCAGATGGATAATTACTTCAATGTTCTTAATGCCTTCATTGACAAAAAAGACAGCTACTACTCCATTCACCAGATAGGTAAGAGTCCGCGTGCCGAAGAGCATGGAGATATTCAGTCTGGGTTTCCCATGAGTGTAGAACATCACTCCATGTTTGTTTTACTAGCTTAGCCAAAAAACAAAACAAAACAAAAAAACCCGAGAGGGTCAGGTAGTACATGATACTGTGCTGCTTGTTCTCTGACATGATATGAAACTACAACTCTTTATTATGGATTATGATAGATTTTTAGTCTCGACTCCACTAAGGCCATCAGGTTTGCCTAATGCTTTAGGTTATATTCAGCATCACTTTCCCTGTCCTGGCTATCTAAGGTGAGAGGAATGCATGTGGTTGCTATTCTCACTAGGACCTTGTAATATGAGAAGATTGCTGAGCGAAGAAATTCTCAGAAGTAGCAAATGGACTAAGGAAGGATCTCACTTTGATATAAACTTCCCTGGTAAATAAGAGAGGCAGCCCATTCCAGTTTTTCCTATCGGATGTTAAGGCACCTATAGCTTCAGTGAACAGAACTTCAGATTACAGGGGTAACCAAACACTAAGTAAAATTTATTCTGAGGTAACATTGCCTTTTGAACTTCTGTGTTATTGCATTTTGGGGAAAGGATTTGCTTTACAGTCCTTCAGGATATGCTTCTCTCTCCCATCTACACTAAGATACCCCATGAAAGGGTAGCTTCTGCTGACTCAAAAATGTTTCCAAGTGAGATTTTTTTTTTCCCTGTTAAATACAAACTCTGATTAGGAAGGGACGCAGTGTAGGTGAAGTTATTTGCTAAATTATTTTGGTTTTTTTCTTGTGATGCAGCCCAGATGGGAGTTGGAGAGGGAAAATCCATAGGTCAATGGTATGGACCAAACACAGTTGCACAAGTGCTCAAGTAAGTGCTGCGTTTTTCCTTTATATCTTTTGAACCACGCGGTGGGGTCATTTGGTTTGTAGTACCTCCTAGCTTACAGTTGCACTTCAGTCAATGGGCAGAAACCTGTATGTTTTAATGCTGTTAGCAGGCAACCTGCTTGACCTTATTGACCTGCTTGGGCAGGAACTTGGAAGGAGCCCTTCTGTCATTCAGATGCTGGCAGGATGTGAGAGAAAACAGATTTCAAGTTGAGGACAACCCCCAAAAGTCTCTCTCCACATCCAACAAGTAATATGCTTGCCACTAGAACTGACTGCAATACTCTGTGGCAGACGAAAACCAAGTGTCAGAGTAGGTTATCACTGCCATTGTTTGGATGTCTGCTAGCCTCTGAGTTGCCTCTGCTGACCTGACAACAGTGTCATCATTATCAAAAAGGTGCCAGCAAGCCATCAAGTCACTAATGCATTAGCAGGGGAAAGCATTAATATTTGCTGCCTGGGTTCTGTGGTGACAGACAGAGGATCAGAGCAGTGCTGGAGCATGGACTGCCTTTAATAACTGGGACACACTGAGAAACACATTTTGAGAAACATTCTCCCTCCTGTCACCATTCTTCCCTCACTTTGATTAGATGAGCAGGTAGCTCCCTGGAATAGGCTAGGATTGCCTAAAAGCAGCTTTCCCAGGTCAGACCATATGCCAAATGAGCCCAGGATCTGGTACAGGTGATCAGGAGATATGTAAGGAAAGTAAAAATGATTTTTTTTTTTTTAATTTACTATTGTCTATTTTTTATGTTGCCTCACTTTCTGGTAACCAGCAGTTACGGAATTTGAGTTGGAGATTGTATCAGGGCTCTTGTACTTAGAAGCTGCTGAGGGATGAATTCCCAGGTGTAGTCCCATTTGAAATCTTGTTTATTCTTTTGGCCATAATAACTAGTGGTAATGAAGTCTACAACTCTGATACGTGTATAAAAGCGTACTTTACAGCATAATTGATGAGAGCTAATCTCTCCTAACCCAGTTTCCCCTCTTTGATACACCACCATCTTTATCTTGTAGTTGCAACTAATCCTTGCTTACTTTATTTTTTTTTTTCCTTTCCTATAGAAAACTTGCAACTTTTGATACATGGAGTTCACTGGCAGTCCATATAGCCATGGACAACACAGTAGTGATGGAAGAAATCTGTAAGTATCACATGGAGGTAGAATGTGGTATATCCTTCGGCAGCAAGAAGCCAGAAAAAAACTGGAGGGCATATAGTAGTACAACACAACAAGCATGAAGTAAATGTTCTGTCTTAAAGCTGTGGCCAAGTGTGCTGAAACCAGATGAGAATTGCTGTTCTAGTGCAAGGAAGCCCCTTGTTTTGACTTGTGCTTCATCTGATAAAGCCTCTGACTTAGCACTGTGGCCTCTGGATCTGGAGAGAAGGTCTGCTGACCTTCAGACAATAGGTGGGAGCTGCTTGGAAGGTAGTGTCAAACTTGTTTATGGCCACAGGTAGCAAGCAGTAAATGGCTGCTTCCTCTTTCATATAATGGGGTAGGAATGTCTCTGCTATTAGGCAGAGTAAGAAAACTATAACAGATCGCTGAAGAGGAAAATGAACAACATTGGCGGGGGAGGGAGAAGAAGGGCATCCATCTCTGGAGTGGATCTGTCATCATCTTTTAAGGAGTGCTCACTGGTTGTTTCTTTTTTTTTTTTTTTTTTTTTTTTTTTGTTTTTTTTGGTGCCTCCTGACAATAGGATGGCTCTGGAGGCTGAGTGGCTGCGCGATATGTTCATCCCTAGCATGCTTGCTCAGGCTGCAGTGCCGCAGTAACTAAAGCTGAATGCCTGCATCGCTGGTTGCTGCAGTCCTGCATGGTCCCAGCCACATAAGCCTTCCCCTTGCTTGCTTTAGACTAACTCGTGAAGCAGTGCGCTTACACAGCACAACACCATGCAATGTTTTCTGCCAGGTTAGTGTTCTGAAATGGCATGTAGAACAGTCCAGTGAGCACTGGAGCTGGTGCAAGGTTACAGGTGAGATTGTGGCAGGCATCATTTAGGCTGGCTTCGGCTGCCACGGAGCCAAAATCAATTAACAGGCCATTTGTCCCTAGAGTGCAGGACAGTCACTTTACAAAGTCACATCTCTTATCAGGTAGTCTCAATTGAGAGGCCAGGAAATGTAGGGTCTGATTGAGAAGTGTGTGTCTAGCCTTAGGTACATGTAGTCCTGTGAAGGTATGTACTTGGCTTAAGCAAGGACCAGCGTGAAAACAGAAAATGGATTTATCTTTCATCTTTGGACTGAAAACGTTACTTATAGAACTGAAGCATGCTGGCTGTGAGGCTTGGGTGTGCTGCAGGCTCTTGTCTATGTAGCACTGACTGCTCAGCAGTGACACTGCTTCAAGTAAAGTGTCCATACAGCTTGTAATGTGCAGGGGGTGTTAGTTTATTTTCCTCAAATGTGAATCATAATGTACCCGTTCAGGGCCTGAAAGCCACTGTATGAGTGGGTCTGATGTGTTATGTGTCTGTAGGTATGTGTTATATATATCTTGTGCCCCAAACATCTGTCAATAGTGAAGTATTCAGAAGTTAATGCTGTTTTTCATACATCTGTTAAATTCGGTCACTAATACTGTTCAGCCTAAGGTTCATAGGAAATGCCTTTTGCTACAGCAGTGAAGAAACATCCATCTTTATCCCTTCTGAGTCAGTCTGTTGCATCAGAAAGGGGATCTTAAGATCCTTAGGGGCATTGGAGGATCCTGTGCATCAGAAAGTGGTGAGAAACCAAGACAGTAAAGCCAGTACCTGACAGCAGCAGCCACAGCAGGAGAGATGTAGTGTCCAATCTGTTGGAATATGTTTGCAGTAAATGGTCTGGATCCAGCTGGGAAGCTTTAGGCAGGTTCCGCTGTGCTGTGGCACCATAGTGCTGCAAAGCCTGCCAAAGAAGCAAGGTGAATTTAGTCTGTGCCGAGCTCCCTACTGCTTAAACTTGGGTTAAATATGTTCACATCACAGTGCAGGATTGCCTGATGAGGAAACCTGCAGTGACACCTCATTCAGCAACAGCCCTGGCTTGGCAGCTGATTTCAGATCATCAGAACAGGCAGGCTACTGCAACGAAAAACCCCATGATCTTTACTGTTTTTAACAGGATAAATCACTACGAATAATGACTTTCAATTTTCTCGGGACCTCGGTAACTGTAATATGTTTGTGCATGAGAGATGCACATATACACCTTCTCCCTCCTTGAGAGACAGTACAGGGAGCAACTGCAAACTCTTCAGTGCAGGTTGTCTGTCATACTGAGGCTTTAGATCAAAGTCCTATTTCTTCTAACCTTGGGTGTAACATTCTCCTTGTTCGGCTGGGTTCGAAGCTCTTAGTAGTGAGCCAACACCCTGCTGAAATGGCTGGTGATGAAGGTGTTTGTTTACATTGTGTCCTACATGCTAGAGTGTCCTGGCATTCAGCTTAGGCCAGGAATAAATTAAATGAGCCTCTGGCATTTTGTCTAATTGCTTTGGCTTCGTGATTAAAGTGCTGTAGGTTTCTTTGGGGTTTGGGTTTTTTCTTCACACACCCAGCAAGTCATGAAATTGGCCAGTGAGACAGGTAGGCTTGGAGATGTTTCTGTACCAGAATTTACATAATCTGGTTGCATTACAGCCTGGCTGTGTGTTTGTCAAGCCTGTAGAATGAGGATGCGTAGCGCTTATGTCATGTGTATGCCCCAAGGAGTTTTGCTGCCCGAAATCTTACAGGCAAAGCTCATGCTGAAATTGCAGAGGTCTTTAGGTCTCTAAAGTAGCTTCTGAATGTTCCCCAATAAAATTTGTGAACGCTTTAGTGAACTTTAGGGAAATTATAACTACTCTAGACAGACACCATGTTTGTATCTTGTTACAGTGCTAATTATAGGTGAATATTTCCTGTGTTAAGCTATGATGCTTTCCTCATTCAGTTCAACTGTCTTCATATCCTCCATGAGCTCCTCTGGAGTTGAGTACTCCGGATTTTTCTCTTCCTGCCTACACGCTCTGTGAATTCAGGACTCTTGCCTGACCTCCTAATCAACTCCTTCAACCTTGCTGGCATAGGTTTTTGCTTAGCTGCTTGCCTGCTGGAAAAAAATTGCATTTTAACAGCCCACCAGATGGTGGCTGTGAGTACAGCATGCTTTGGCATAATCTTGATGTAAGCTTAGAGGAAATGCTGAGCCCTACCAGAAGCCCTGCAGGGAGTACATATATCACATGATCCCAGCACTGGACCTTTTTAAGCTTTTCATTTTATTAAGTGCTGTAGGCTTTTAGTAAATAGCAATTGTTGATCAGAGCTCGAATAGAATTACTCAAGATCTAGAAACGGAGGTTATTTCTGATGCTTTCTGCTCATGTTCCCTTTCTGTAGGGCGGTTGTGCCAGTCCAACTTCCCGTGTGCTGGAGCTGCAGCATGCCCTGCTGTGGAGTCAGACGTACTCTATAACGGGTACCCAGAGGAAGCAGGGGTTAGAGATAGGCTCTCACTGTGGAAACCATTGGTGCTGCTGATACCTCTCCGCCTTGGGCTCACAGAGATCAATGAAGCCTATATTGAAACACTAAAGGTAGGGGACCTGGAGCTGAATTCTTGGTGTTAAGGACCCTGTCATGTATTAAGTAATTTCTGGAGTTTGGTTTGGGGGCAAAAATACTCAGAAATAATCGTCCTATTTTCAAAAGAAAAATGTGTTTAGAGACAATCCTTGTCAAAGGTCAGGATATGGGTTCTTGCAGGCTTTAGTCAGGAAAATGTGTGGGGCTTTTGGGGGGTTGTAGTTTTTGGTGTTTGGGGTTTTTTTGAGGGTTTTATTTCACAACTTAATCTCAGTCCCTCTTTGTGTTTAGGTGGTACCAACCTGCTGAAGCATTTCTTCAGCACAACCGTAGTGTGCTAGGTCGCACCCTGAGCATGAATGAATGTAGTGTTGCACGCTCCCTGTGGCTCTGATGCTGGAGCTTGTACTGCAGACTGAGGCTAGAATTTGGCAGACTGTTGCAGTGTGGATTATCAGGAGGCTGCAGAATTTAGGGTGTGCGGAGTACATGCACAAGACAGGGTGCACATTGTCTTGCTGTACTAATGCTAGCAAGCTCTGAGCTGCATGGGTAAGAGCTCCAAATTCATGCAGAGTTACTTGTCCTTAACTCAGTAGATGTTGCCTTGGATACTACAGCTGGATAAGGAACTTAAACTGTTTCCTGAATGATTGTTTCTTCCTGAGAGCACTGTTGCAACCCAATGACAGCTCCAGCCACTGACTGCAGCAGAGCCAGGACTGGCCTGGACTGGGTCCTGGAATAGTGCTGCTTCTTCCATTTGGTCCACTTGTGTGTTCTTGTCAGCAGTTAAAGATGTTTTTGAACTGCTTCTGTGTTCCTTGAAGGCCCTATGTTGCAGCCTTCAGCCTTCCTGGCAGAGCTTCTCTCCAGAAATGGCTGTTTCTGCTGATTTTCAGTGTCCCCGTCTTTCTTTCCCACTGCATTTTTAGATGTTTGCCTTTGTTGCCACCTGCTGTCTCACTGTCTGTCAGCTGTGTGTTTTCTGTATTGCTTTTCCAGCACTGCTTCATGATGCCCCAGTCCCTGGGAGTGATCGGAGGGAAACCAAACAGTGCTCACTACTTCATTGGCTATGTAGGTGAGTGCCCGGAGTACTGCAAAGACTTTCCAAGCATCTCCCCGCAGCTAAAAAATGCTTGTCGAGCAGTACAGCTCTCCTGCTTGGTCTGTGGTGCATGCTGCAGGGTTCTTATTTCCTACTGGAAGCATGGAAGGCTGCTGTGGACTGAACCTCTTTGTGAGGACCTGAGTGATGTAGCTTTGAACAGTGGCCGTGGTACAGGCCGTAAACTTCCACTGCATAATGCTAAATCCTGTCTGTAAGGAGGTGTGCATAGAGACTTCTTCCTACGTTCAGACCTGACTTCCCTTTAGGGGCTTGGCTGGATTTAACTGTCCTTTAGTTGTCCTGTTCCTGAAATCCTACAAACTGTTGTTGTTTTACTCTCTTCCTTCCCTCTGATTTTCTCTCTCTGCCTGAGACCTCAGTCTGGTTGTGCTGTGGATTTCTGGGGCTGACTTGAGCTTACACAGAACCCTGGCAGGCATGTGCAGGAACAGTACCCAAATAGTGCCTGTGCCTTGAGCCCAGGGTGTCGCTGTGGAGTGGGCACCATGGTTTTGCTGGCAGCTGGCTCTTTGCCTGGATGAGAAGCATTTGGGAAAGCGGCTGAAAGCAAGTTGCCCCTATAGAACATGGGTTCCTATGTGGGGTTTCAAGAGCTGGCTCTGTTATCACTCTTCCTCCTCTTTGTATCTCACCGTTTGCTTCTCAGAAGACCAGCTTCTGGCATGGTTCTTCCTCTTCATGTCTCCTTGCCTGTCTGTCCAGGTGAGGAACTCATTTACCTGGATCCCCACACTACGCAGCCTGCAGTGGAGCCCAATGACAGCGGCTGTCTCCCTGATGAAAGCTTCCACTGCCAGCACCCTCCCTGCAGAATGAGCATTGCCGAGCTCGACCCCTCCATTGCGGTGGTGCGTTCCTGCTGCTTGTTTCCAGTCACCCGAAGGAGCAGGGTTGTGGTCCCTCTGTTTCACGGCTGTCTCTTTCACCAGGGAACTGGCAAAGGCAGTGGTGATGGGTTGGGTACTCTATAGGGATGCTGTGCTCTGGGCAAGTGCTGCCGTGGGTTTCAGTAACATTGGTAAAGAAGCTTCCCATGCAGGAAGTGGTTTGGTACAGGGAAGTCCCCCTTGAATGGCAATTAAATGCCATTCTTCATGGGGCAGTATCCTTCTCTCACGTTTAGTTTGGGCTTTGATTCCTGCCTTTTGATGGACAGATCTGAATCCATATAATGATTCAGTGTGGCTTGTTTTCTGTTGAACCTGAGATGCCTGCCCTTTGTTTCCATGTGGGTTGTTTCTGCCCACTTTTCTTTTGCAGTAGAGCAGACCGTTACATCAATGCTTCCAGCGCTTGGATAATCTGGTCACATCGAGCATATGGGGAGAGTTCAGTTCAACCGGGCAGAGTAAGCCACAGTTTAAAAGCAAGGCAACTAGGTGGTGTAACTGCTCACAGTCCTGGTCATGTTGCTTGGCGTTAATAGAAGCAAGGCCTTAAGACTGAAATGATCAATCTACAATATATAAAGATAAATTCTTTTTTTTTCAGGGCTTTTTCTGCAACACAGAGGAGGACTTTAATGATTGGTGCCAGCAAATCAAAAAGGTTTGTGTTTATATCACCATGAAAGGAATATAGGGTATTGTCTTGTTTCCAAACCGCTGCACAGAGAGCATGTTCTCTGCAGCATGATCCCATTTTAAAGCATATGAAAACAGTTTATTGAACTACCAAAAAGAGCATAGCTCTGAAATACTGCTGATGATACAAATCAAAAATTTGAGAAACATTTTTTCAGCTGCAGTGAAGTCCCAACAGATAGTTATTAACCTTAAAGACCCAGAGCACCATGAGTACAGAGTTGTTGGTTCTCACAGCTCTACCCTTGCTCCATAGCTGTCCCTGGTAAGAGGAGCGCTGCCAATGTTTGAACTGGTTGAACGCCAGCCATCGCATTTCTCCAACCCCGATGTCCTGAATCTCACACCAGGTGAGGCCACGCAGGGAGGTGGAGCTAAGGGTGAGCTGGTCCCTTTGGTTTTCTGGAAATTGTGTGGAATTGCACAGTGATTTCTAGTATGTTCCTCTTCCACCTGGAGTTTCATCTGGAGCTCTTAGGTCAATTGGTCTAGTTCTTTGGCTTTCAACTTGTGGTTTGCAGATCCCACAGTGGCTCAGGATGATTTTTAGAATGAGTCTGTGAATGGTGATGGTCACTGAGGGGAAGAAAAAACAAGTTCATAAGCTATCACAGCAATGTGAATCTATGATTTGTAAAGGGATGTTTGGAGGAATCAAAAGGGTCCATTGAAAAGGCTGAAAACTGAGTTTCTAGCTGATGAAAATGGTCAAAGACAGGGCTGGTCAAACTTGGTTCCAGTGTAAGGCACTCCTTCCCTGTATGTGTGTGCCACTACCAATGTGAAAAGGAACAAGTGCTGGGCAGTATCTTGGCTGTCAGGCTCTGCTTATCATGTTAATATTGTGCACAAACATTGCAGGAGATAAAGAGCCATTGACAGCTTCTGCCGAGAGGAGTGAGTATGCGTGGACAAACTTACCCTGTCACCAGGCATTGGACTGTGTCCTGTCACTTGCATCTGGCACCCTGTGCTTCCTTGCTATCTTTCTCTCTCCTTAGCATGAACTTTCAAAGCCTTCCTTATCTCACTGTCCTTTTCTGTAAGAATGCTTAATTCCCTTAAATTGTCAGTTGCTCCTTGCCTGTATTAAATTGTCCCTAATTGCTACCTTTCTTACTCTTAAAAATGTTTTTGTAATGGGCTACTTGTCCTTTCACTTCTCCCTCTTCCCTAGCTTGTAGAGCCTCTCCCATCTGCTATGGCCATTCTGTTTCTCTTACAGTCCTACCCCTTGCTAGAAGGATTTATCATACTCTCGTGGATGTCCAGCCCCCAGCCAGCTGGGTTCTCTGCTGTATTACTAAAGTGAAGGGGGCCACTCCTCTGAGGGCCACCTCTGGAAGATGTGCTGCCAGCACTCATGGGCACTGCAGTTTGATCAAGAAGAGTGACATTAGGCATTTGCACACGCTACTGGGGGATTAAAATTTGTCACAAAATGTTCGGGGGGGCGGGGTCTGCAGCCTTGCACTTCTCCTCTGTCCCCAGTCATCATAGGGAGGTGATAGTGCCCCTGTACTCGGCACTGGTGAGGCCGCACCTCGAGTACTGTGTTCAGTTTTGGGCCCCTCACTACAAGAAGGACATGGAGGTGCTGGAGCGTGTCCAAAGAAGGGCAACAAAGTTGGTGAAGGGTCTAGAGCACAAGTCTCATGAGGAGCAGCTGAGGGAGCTGGGGTTGTTTGGTCTGGAGAAGAGGAGGCTGAGGGGAGACCTTATTGCTCTCTACAACTACCTGAAAGGAAGTTGTAGGGAGGTGGGGGTCGGTCTCTTCTCCCAAGTAACAAGCGATAGGACAAGAGGAAATGTCCTCAAGTTGCACCAGGGGAGGTTTTGGTTGGATATTAGGAAAAATTTCCTCACTGAAAGGGTAGTCAGGAACTGGAACAGGCTGCCCAGGGAAGTGGTTGAGTCTTCATCCCTGGAGGTATTTAAAAGATGGGTAGACGTGGTGCTCGAGGACATGGTTTAGTGGTGGTCTTGGCAGTGATACGTTAACGGTTGGACTCGATAATCTTAAGGGTCTTTTCCAACCTTAACGATTCTATGATCAGTTATTGCAGTTTAGCTTTTGCCTGGCTGTTCTGCCAAGTCCAGTGTGTACATTCTTGAAGCCTGAGTTAATGTAGGTTTCTCCTTTACTTCCACAGTTTGCCTGTACATTCTCACCTGAATTTCCCCTATGGTGAAGTTGCTTCCCCTTTAGGTATGTGCTCCCTCCTCACCGTAGAGTTGGAAGGATGAACAGGAGGGATCAAGTACATTACCATTCCTCACAAAAGTACTAATTGCTTTTGGGAGAGTGCATGTTGTGTAATTACATTCCCCAGCAGTTGGATCAAAGGCAACTATAGGAGAAAACAAGTCTCTAATATATGGGGGAAAAAAATGTTCCCATATCACTTAATTGGGCCAGCAATCTTCATGAATATTAGTCCAGACCTGGGAGAGTTCTCCTATTTTGAGCCTCTTGAGGCAGAACTGTCTCCTGCTAATACAGAGCTGCTGCACAAGAAGGTTGTACAGAACAGTCATAGCAGAGTTGTACTGCAACTGTTGGGATCTGTGAAACATAGTGCACCTTCTGTGCACCATATAATTCTCTCCAATGCATTTTCCATGCTATTGATACATGCTGTTTCTTATCCCTCCTCGGAGCCTTCACTCGGGTGTGTCACAGAGTCACTTGGAACTTGTGGGCCCCTGACACTCAAATTCTGCTGCCCTCCAGCTGCTGGTCTCACTGATGCTGAGCAGTCAGTGCGTCCCACGGAGGTAGTGCTTTCTTTTTCTCTTGCAGACTCCTCCGATGCCGACAGATTGGAAAGGTTCTTTGACTCGGAAGATGAAGACTTCGAAATCCTGTCCCTTTGAAAACAAATAGGAAACTGACTCTGCAAATTTGTGTTATGTGTGGGGAGAAGGGGGGGAGGGAAGCTCCTTCGAGAGCCTGGGGCTACCGGTTTTCATAGGCGCTTGCTGCCATCCCCGCCTCTTGTCCATCCTGGCATTCTGTGCAGCCTCTGAGCGCAGCGCGCATTGTCTGCGTTGGGATGAAGAACCAAGGGGGTGTTACAGCCTTACTGGCTGGAGTCAGAATTTCTCAGCAGAAAACAGTTGCTGGAAGTGGATGCAGTGGTGCTTAGGAGTTCAAAGCCTATCTGTTACATCAGCAGGTCAGTTGGCCTTCTCGGGGAGGTGTAGAAATTGTTAGAGCGCTAAATCCTTACATGAGGACTTCCCTCTGAAGCTTAAATAGAGCCACCCATCATTTAGCCGGTGAAATGTACAGTTAATTCCTTTAGCAGCTTCTCTTCTCACTGGCCAACTTGGACTGCAGCTCACAACGCAAATGAACAGCAAACATGTCCCAACAAGACAGCTGTGAAGCCCCTGGAGTCCAGGTGGCCGGGCTTCCTACAGTACAACTCCTGTTCATGCTTTGCAGTACACAGTGCTTCCTCAGAGGTGTAGTACCCTGCTCCTGCTCACATCCTATGAAAAGGACGTTGAGGGAACCTGCAAGTGACTGGTAATTCAGTAAGCAAAAGGCTGTCTGGGAGAGTGTGGAGCAGACCCATGCTGCTGGGGAGGACATCTCAATCTCAGTTTAAATAACAGCAGAAAGGGGAGGAGAATAGAAAATGTATGTGTTCTTGCTCGGTAAGTCGATAAAGCATTGTGCTTCTACAATGGATTAATCTCTACAGCAAGTATCTTCAGGAACACTGCTTCGAGCAGAGAACTGGATTCCATAGTCCTGGAAAAAAAAAAGTCCACCGCTGGGAGAGGTGAAACAGGACAACTGAGATCTGCCAGTTGTGTGCCTGCGCCCTAGTGTGCTGGCATGGCGTCTGGGAATTAATCCTTTTGGTACCAAAAATGGGAGCTATGAAATTCCTCAAGGTATTCTCCATGGGTTGTTCAGCAGTTCCTCTAACTACTCCTGTTAGACATTCCCTTTCCAACTCAGAAAAGGTGCCTGAAGGTCAAGTAGGCTTCCTAGCTGCGTTGGTACCTTTCCTTTTGTCTTCTGCCAGCGTCCCGTCCCTGCAGAGTATGAACAAAGGTACGGTAGGAGCTAACCCAGAGAAACCCATTTCAAGTAGTCATCCCAAAGAGGGCAGTAAAGACAGAATGCCTTGAGAAGGTCCAGTTATACTGGAAATTTTAGCTACTTTAAGGTGATAGCTCTGCCTGGGGCCCTTCTCCACACAGAACTCAGAGAAAGGTAAACTGTGGAGAACTGTCTTAGTGCAAACTGCAACAGAAGTTGCTGAAGTAGTTTCCTTAGTGCATGCTGCAGATTGCAAACCTGTTTACAGGGCTTTCTTTTGTAAATTTAGGATTGGAACCTGTCAATTGATGCTTTTGTGCCCAAGGGTGGTGACAGCTGGGTAGAAATGACCCGTTTCCTGCCCCCCTCCCCCCCGACTGACCTACTGATGCTCTTAACTGTCCCTGTGCTATCCAAAAGCAGAGTTTTGAACTGGGAACCACAATGCTTCTGTCACTAAATTATTATTTGCTGCTTTCTGCCTGCTTCTCCTCTTCTCTCTTGTAGTTAGGGGAAGAGGCAGCAGAGGAAGTGGGGCTGTGCTCCATTCATCTGCTTTCAATTTCTGAATAAACAGATTTAAAATCTTTGCCTGTCCTAATGTTCTTGCCCGTGGATTGAAGGTGGTGGCAGGTGGTATGTAGTAGCCCTGCGGTGTGGCTCGGAATGCTGTTGAAACGATTGCAATTTTTACCCTTTTAGGGCAATGAAGGCAGATGGAAGCAAAAGTTTAGCTATTAGCAATGGTGACTTTATCTTCTTTTTGGTGAGAATAGAGATAGAATAGAGGCTGGCTGCTTGGGACTGCCAAGTTGTCGTTCCTGTCCGAGAGGGTGAGCACCTGCAGACATGCTGGCAGAAAAGGAAAAAACACTTCCATAGCAATTCTGCTACTTGAATTTTAAGTTGTATGAATGTGGGGCAACAAAACAATCCTTGAAGGCTGTCCCTGCTGAGCGGCGCAGCATCTCTCTGCTTCTAAAACAGTGTAAGCCTTTCCAAGACTGGACATTCTTTTTTGGTGAGTCTCTGCCATGTGTACTTCTGAGGTAGAGGGGAAGGAGCCAAGCAGAGGCTCAAAAGTAGGTGGAAAGTGAAACTTGCTTCCTTTAAGATTGTGTGCCCACTGTTTAGCTATTTAACTGATAGCTTTTCATAGCTTCAGTTTCCAGGTGGCCTTCTAAACACCAGCTCTGCAGTAGTCAGTGTTACAGAAGTAAGCGTAGTCAATTCAACAACCATTTTTCCTGTTTTGCCGTGCAATGGCAGGGACCCAGCACATGAATCAGGAGGCTGCGCCCTCTGTTACCATTGGCAGGTCCTTTTTGTTGAGAGCTAGTCACTCAGGATACATCTCCCTCTTGATTTGTACACGAGAAGAGTTACTACTTATTTCCTGTTCATGCTTTTATGGTTAAGGACAGCTCAGTCAGACAAGATTTCACCTGAGTGTTAACACAACACCAATAACAGCTAAGCTCAGCTCTCTTAGATTTTTAACAGGTATTTCTGGCTTTTTAGTCAGGAGCCTAAAGCTAATATGAATTAAATGACTTCTCTGTGTCGTCTTCTTTCAGTGTTGCTGGAAGGGCCTGATTCAGCGTTACAGGTGTTCACCTCCTTCAAGAGGAGCATTTCTGCTACCAACTGCTGTGCAGCTTCAGAGTGAAGGCAGCAGCTTTTTCCATTTCAGCTGATGCTTGCATTAGCAATTTTGTTTTAAACATTTACCTTCCTCTCCCTCCTAGTGGATCAGTTCAATCTGCCTCTCTAAGAGTTAGAGCAGGATTTAGTCTCTGTATCGGCCAGCTTGGAAATCAGTCCACACTGCTAGAAGGTGAGTTAACTGTCCAGCAGATGATAGAGACATTAACTCTCCTGGTCATCTGCATATCTCAGTGCACCTTGCAAATGATTTGATTTAACATTCCAGTTTATTGTAGTTTGCTGGTCATTACTGATGACTTAGATGAATTCATAGCGGATCTGGTTTGGCAGCCTGTGCTGAGCTGTTTAAATTGCACTGGGGTCTCTGTAGGAGTCACAGGTGACTATTCCTCTGATCTTGGCCACAGGAGTAACTCGACCAGTCTAAAATAATTTATGTGCCACTCACCCTTCAAACAGGCCTCGCTATGAGCTAATACATCTATTTCAGACACTTACCTACTCATAGCAGTTCAGGTTCTGTATCGTTCTCACTGAACAGCTGGGGAGCAGACTTGAATTCATCTCTCCCTTCATTCCCCAGCTCTAGCAAACTGCTCTCCCTGGATTTAGTGCCTGAACTGCAGCACCTTCACGACCTATATATCCTTCTAGAAGAGAAATAATCATACTGGAAAAAAAATACCCTGTGCAAAATCTTTAAGAGAATAATTTATTAGCAAGTCCTCTACAAACTGCTTTCAGCACAGGGGATGCATTTACTAGAGAGGCAGAAGAATCAGAAACATGGCAGTTCCCCAAAACCGGGAAGGCTGTTGCCTGCCTGCTGCTGTGCATGTCCGGGGCAGCCTTGGGCTCCATACCCACATCGGCACTACGGGACTGGGGCTAGACCAAGAGCTCCTACTTCAGGTCAGGAGGTTTTTCTAAGGAATTTGTTACATGCTCATTGCATGTTCATTTATAAAACAGCAGGGACTATGCAGGATGGAGGGGAGGAGCAGATAAAATCACAAGGACATCAGCACCATGCTGGACCCAGAATACATGGGATCTAAGCTGTTATTACTGGAAGGTGACATAGGGGAGTTACCCAAGTGAGGAAGATCCAAAAGGTGAGTTTTCCCTTAGGTCTAAAAGAATAATCTGTAGAAAGTTTTATTTCCAGAGTTGTCCCAAAGGTTTATTCTGAACCTCCTGCATGATTTCCTCTGTAATGGACTTGATTTCTCTGTGCAAGTCTTCTATGCTCTTTGAAGCATCCACTGTCTGTTCCAAGACAAAAAAATACAGAAACACGTGCCTCCGTTAGCAACACAAAATGAGAAAACCTCACCTTGCTGTTATATCTGCTTCCCCCATTACTCAATATTGTTACTATTCATGAGCAGTGAAAGGAGTGTGTTATACCTCCTGTGCACTATTTCTGGAGTGGAACTGGAAAAATCTATTTTATTTAGGAATAGACATTTAAGAAGTAGATGTGGGGCTGGATGAAAGGAAACAGAAGAAACTGCTGCTGCTGCGTAATTTGCTGACAGTCTTTAGGGCATATGACCTAAAGGCAGGTAAATGTTTTTCATCTGGTACTGTAGTCCCCCATAAACATCAGTGTATTGATCCTTCAGTGGTTCTTCAAAATAAACTCCACCCATGATAATAGGAACCTCTCAAAATCCATCATGTGATATTCCAGTTTCAGCTGCTTGCCTTTTTTTCTTTTCTGCTGCGTAATTTGCTGACAGTCTTTAGGGCATATGACCTAAAGGCAGGTAAATGTTTTTCATCTGGTACTGTAGTCCCCCATAAACATCAGTGTATTGATCCTTCAGTGGTTCTTCAAAATAAACTCCACCCATGATAATAGGAACCTCTCAAAATCCATCATGTGATATTCCAGTTTCAGCTGCTTGCCTTTTTTTTTTTTTTTTTTTTTTTTTTTTTAAATACTGCAAGCTGAGGTCAGTAAAGGTGGTAGAGCTATATGATGCTGGTGTTCCTCATCCTGATGTTTAAAGAATAGCAGCATCGCTCCTGTGTGGTTGAGGGAGTGACCAAGGTGAAGAAAGGATTTGGTGAAAAGATGCGGAGAGGTGCAGATTTATCACAGAGACCTATGCAACACTGGCCCACACAGCATTGCTGAGAAAGAGCAGGCTGTGAGGATATGCAATAAATCGACTTCATGATTAAACGGTAGCCTTTTCATTACAGCACAGCCAGCACCCCACCTTTGTGCTCGCACAATATACTCAAGCAGCTTGCTGATCTCAATTTGTTTGTGTAACTCATGGTACCGAGCTGCGTTTCATGCCTTGGACTAAACAGTTCTTTGGCAATGTTTGATGTCTGTTATTCTGTCTGATACAGAGGAGCAAACTGACAGGAATGCTAACTATACCTTTAATGTGTACTGAAACTGGATTTTTGTGGTCATTTCAGGGATACCTGTCATCTCTTCATCATCTGTTGTGATATATAGCTGTTTGATAGTTGTGCACTTTGGAGTATTTTAAAGAGACAGGTTGCTGATACTTTACGTGAAAGCTCCTTTCAAGCAAGGGATAGAAGAAAAATAACAGAAGACAGGTAATAAAAGAAATGTGATCCACTGCTGGAATCTCTGGAAGAAAATCAGGGTTTACAGACTATACATGAATTCCATATTGCCTCTCACAACAGCACGCTTATTTTCGTTAAATGGATTCTTCTGGGATTTTGTGCTGTGGTACATGTTTTCTGTCAGCCTATTTTTCCAGTCAATATGATGCAGGAAAGGCAATTTTCTAGCGTAACTTTTACTGGAATAAAAGTCCTAGTTTGGTGATTGTTGTACATTTAGGTCCTTTAGGTTCTGACAGTACACAAAAAAAACTTCTACAGAATCACGTTTACCTGAAACAGGCTGTGAAGAATTTTGTTTACCTTACACAGTCTGATTATTTGGCAAATCTGTGTAGATCTCCAGCTTCTGGTGGAGACTTATCCATAATCTGTGTCCTCCTATGTCTGTGTAAAAGCTACAGAATAAACAGAAGATGCTGCCTATATCTCATGATTGAGCACTGACAGGGTAATGGAGATGATAAACAGGATGCCTGCACTAGAAAACCTCAGCCTAGGTGATCTACACACAGGATAAATGGGGAATGCTTCCTCTTCTGGGATAAGGCTGCTGACTGTGCAGCCCTCTGCAAACAGCTCCAAGGGATGAACAAGAAGGAAAAGTGATGCAGCAGCATGGAACAAAAAAGATCATGTATTTGGAGAGACTTCTGATAGCAGTAAGACAGCAAATGCTGATGGAAACTGGCCATGTGAGAAGGAAGGTGATCATCAGTAAGGGAGACATGACCTGCAGGAAGGCCCCAAAAACCTTCAGGTATTTCAGACTCCTTGGCAGATGCTGCAAGACTCCAAGCAAACAGAGTGCATGGGTGTGTCCCACTGCTTCTTACCCAGGTTTGTCAGTTTGTCTTGAAGAAAGAGAATGATTGCCAGAAAGCTCTTTTGCAAAACCAACCAACCAACCAACCAAAAATCTTCCCCCCACCCCAATGGGGCCCCGTAGGGTGTCCTGAACAGGAAGGTGTCCTCTCCGCCACAGGCCACGCTGCCCTTAACTGGTCCCAAACATGTCCCCCTGACCAGAGGCAGGAAGGGGGAGCACAGGGATGTGATGGGCACAGTTCAGGAGCTCTCATGAAAGACCCCCACCCTGGTCCATGACAGGCCTGTTAGGGTTATTTCCTCACCTTCCAGTTTAATGTCTTGTCATTCATCAGATGATAGAAGGACTGTAGAACTTTCTCTTGGAAGGAGCTGTTCTCATAACGTTCATTTCCAAAGTTCCCTCGTTCCGCTGCTTCCTCTGGGCTTAACTGAAGAAACAGAATCAGATCTGGCTTTGGGAGTCCAATGTCAGGCTGTTTGCACCAGTCCAGGCAGAAGTTCTGTCCCAAACAAAGACAACCGAGTTTGAGGTGAAAGAAAGGAATGCAAAGAAGGAAAAGAAGCCAGTTAGCTGGAGAGGGAGGTGGGGAAGGAACAGCCAGAGAAGAGATGCAGACCAAAACACTAAGCACAGACATACAAACTGAAAAGGAGTTATCCCAGCTTATCATGTGAGAATTCAGTCCTGGTAATTATGGGGGGGCAGATTTTGCTAGGTGCTGTGCACCTCTCATGCTCACTGAAGTCAAAGAGAGCTAAAGATTTTAACATCTTATGCAAAGCCCATCAGAGGTAAATACCATATTCTGAGTTTCCATACAGTTGTTATCCGTCCAAAACTGTGATCAGTCCCAAAGAAAGCTGCTCCCAAATACAAACATCATGCAGCTTTAGTGTGTATCTTTCTGGGCCCATGGAGACTCCTTTTCAAATACCTACCCTACGCTTTCTCAGCCTACCCAGGAATTTCAGCCCAGATGTGAGACAAAGCTTTCCAACTTTCAGATCTTGTTGACAGATTTGAAGACTTCCATCAGGACACATGAATCCACAACGTTGTGGAGAGACCGCTGAGGCTTGTCCACTTACTGCTCATCCACATGGGTGCCAGTGATACTATCAAGGTGATCTTAAATGTACCAAATCTATCAGGGTGATCTTAAATGTATCAAGAGCAGCTGCAGGGCTCTGGAGGTGAGGGTGCAGGGCATGGCAGGGCAGGATCTCCTCAGTCCTTCCAGGAAGGGGGGAAAGTCTTGGGCAGGAATGAATGCAGGTCAATTCTCAGCTGCACAGCTGGTGTTGCAGGCAGGGCTTCAGCTTCTACAACCACAGGACGCTCTTTGAAGATCGATGGCCACTAAGCAGGAATAGGATACATCTGATGAA